TGGCTTAATGCCATCTCCGTCCAACACGTGGCCCAAGTATAAGACTTGCGTCTTGGCCCACTCGCACTTCTTCGCATTGATCTTGAAGTTAGCCTCTCTAAGCTTCTCCAAGACCTGCCTCAGATGACCCTGGTGCTCCTGGAGGGTCTTACTAAAGACTAGGATATCATCTAAGTAGACTACTACAAATTTATCTAAACCATGGTCTAAACAGGTCATTCATACAACGCTGAAAAGTAGTTGGCTTGGTCAGTCCAAAGGGCATCACTATAAACTCATAATGCCCATATCTAGTCCGGAACGCAGTCTTGTACTGATCATCAGGATGAACCTCTATCTGATGGTATCCGGACTTTAAGTCTATCTTAGAGAAATACTTACAACCCTGCACCCGATCTAAAAGATCGTCTATCCTGGGCAGCGGCTCAGCATTCTTCACTGTGATCGCGTTCAAACCCCTATAGTCTATACACATACGAAGCTCTCCTTCCTTCTTGGGGACAAACAACTCCAAAAGGAGACGAACTGGGCCTGATCCAACCTTTCTCAAGGAGTTCGTCGAACTGCTTGCGGAGCTCCTCTAACTCTCTAGGGGACATCCTGTAGACTGCACCCTTAGGAGTTCTACTGCCAGGCTCTATCTCTACCCTGTGCTGGATGGGGCGCAACACTACTCCTGTCGGCGACTCAGTCAAGTCTTTGAATTATTCCAGCAGCTTGGCAACTGTTCGATCTGTGGAACTATCATTTTCCTGGGCCTAAGTGACAGGTCTAACATACACCACAAAAACCTGTTCCTCTAACTGCTCCTTTCTTACTAATCGCGCGAACGCGGGAGCACTGAGACAGCAATGTGCCAAGGTGTTGTCTACACCAGACACATGGAACAAGCGGGCAGTCTTAGCCTCGCCTGACGGACTAGGGAGCCTACACTCATGCTCTCTCAACTGGAGTGTGGCCCCTACTGCCTCTCCCCAATCCATTCCTAAAACTACATCAAAAGGAAGGTCATCTTGTATGAGGAGAGTCAGGGAATGGAAAACTTTCTCCACCTTCCCATCCCTCTCTAGGCGAAAGTACGCCTGGACTCCCTCTACGTAGTCCTCAACGCGCATCGTGCGGTTGTCTGCGAGGACACTGACTATGGGGTCTATTAACTTCTGGACTTTTAGTCCTAACCTCAGCTTCTTCAGCGCCCTACGACTAATGTAACTACGGGTAGCCCCTGAGTCTATGAGGGCCCCTACTCTACTCCTAAACACCTCTACATCTACTAAGATCAGTTCTCCCTTACTCTCCTTTTTCATTTTGGCCCAGGCTGGCATCCTCTCCTTTAACTCTTCTGCCACACCTGTGAGGGACGTGCCTAAAGAGACGCTAACACAAGCAGTCTCTCGACAGCTATCTAGGCACGGGCCTGCAACCTCTGCCATAGGCTCATGTGGGTTGGGAGTGTCCTGTTCGCGCGCGCTCACTTCTCCACATGGCCTTGAAGT